TTGCATACAAGTATGCAACACACACACACACATGAGTACACATAAGTACATGAACATATGCACCCACAAATATTTGCATTGCAATTAGAAGTCCACTTCAATTCGGAGAATATCCATCAACACGCCACTCTGCCGCCGCGCCAATTACCTGGAGGGCGATTTTCAAATGCAATTCCCATGAAATCTGATATGTTTGTGGCGTAAATGTAATTTTCCATAACTTGAGCCGCACAATTATAGCCAAAGCCGTGTCAGCAGCGACGGCGACAGCGCAGATGAAGTTGGCGGTGACGGTGTGGCGGCAGCCTATAATTTGTGGTGGCAAATAAATTAACGCGCTTTGTGTTTAAATTCATTACAGAATGCATTAGTTTCAATCAACAAAGAAAAATTGCGCTGAAAACTTGTAAATAATTGAAAGAAATTGTAAAAAAAAAACTGAAAAATGTTTAGAATACAGTGAAAAGAGTGTTGGGAAAAGCCTGCAAAAATAGTTGTTAAGCTATTTTAAAATATGATGTGCTACAATTAAGTTGCACATGCGGCACACTAATTTGTGGCACACAAAAGCACACRCACACACATGCCAACCGAAAACACGCGCACACGAACACTCAACATGCAGCGAACAGACAAAAACGCAAYGGCAAATGTATAATCTGTTGAAGTGCAAATAAATTGTAGCATAGCGGTAGGCGCATAAACTGGCTAGCGTGCCATGCCAGCGATGTCGTGCCGTTGCATGCAGTAAATGTTGCGGTAAGTTCATTTCACTCAAAAATTCCGCGAATTTTTGTATATCATTTGAGTGAGTGGCATGTCGAGAACGACTCCTGCAGCGCCGGGCACAGAATCAGGCCATTGCGAGAGCGCTGGCACGAAGGAATGCGCACGACAGCCCTTACCGCATATTTCAAAATATGYACACACCGGCGAGCGTATGCCGTACATGTCGACGCCTTTTGTAGAACTTTCTTTTTTTAATTTTTTTGTATTTTTATTGCGGCTGCAGCAACTTATTAACGTGTTGCAATCCCCAACAATTCTCACGCAGTCATATGCGTTGTGCTATACATGTATGTGTGTGTGTGTGTGGTGTATTGTTAAAGGCGCGTCCGCGCAATCGTAATACGTGTTGTWCTCGGCAAATGGAAGTAATCAACTGCAATAACAGCAGCAACAACAATTAAAGTGCCGGCAAAAAGCGCTATGACACATCTTGTCAGMCAGCGAAGTTGTGTGATTGTGATCKCCTGTCGTTGGCAGCAACAGCGCCGGAAGCGGAAACWTCCGAATTGTAACCGTAAATGGCATTCACACGAAGTGCCCTTTGGCCAGTGATATATTTACAGAATTTATAGATATATTCACCCAATAGGGTAATGTCCATATTTCACAAATGYTCGTTTTTAAACCTTACACGTAGTCGTTAGAGCCGTAAATACTCTTGACTGTGGTATTTATCTCTGTCACCAACTTTACTATGGGTACTGCTGCTGTGGGGACCATATAAGAAAAGTCATTGTATTCTTCGCCCAACCCACTTTTTTATATTTCCTTTTGGTGTACTTTTAGGCACTATGTAATTTTTTGGTTATGACATTTCTTAAAACTACTTGAAAAAGTATTGACCCATTAGGCCACAAGTGATTTCAGTTGTGCTCTTTCGAAAATAAATTTCCATAAGTCCGCAAGGAAGAAGGAGTWGGCAGAGAGAGTTATTGGCAACAACTCCAAAACATACGACATATCATGTTGCTAATGGGGGTTTGCAATCGCATTAGGTTTAAATATGTAATTAGCCTCCCTAGAGACAAATTCAGCATTTTCCGGTACTACGACACTGAGCCTGACTTGGATCCATATTTTCAAATAGGGATTACATYGCTTCGCTARCACCCAGCACTTTATCAAYWTGCTGGGGCTAGGAGAGTCTTTRCGATTAAGAAGWGGGTACAATAGACCGGTTCATTACTSGTTTTTTATTCTAGGCAATCGCCTAAGAATATATAAAAGAAATTACGCCTGTGTTGTTCTCTCCGAGATGTCATTACGGTGCCAGTATCCTGTGGTTCAGGTCTTGCCTAACATTGACTTCACATATAGTCTATCATACATAGTCATCCTTACATATAACTCCAAATCAGATTCCGTCCAAGAGCTCTRAGTCTTCATTGCGCCTTTCTTAATCTTTAGGCTCACTTAAACCCCATTCTTACGACCTGGAGAGGAACACAACTTTATTGAAAAACTTAGTATGCGCTGAATATCAGATAATATAAATGCTATTATTTTTCCCTTGAAAAAAATGTAGAAATCTCATTTTTTGCGACAGGCTTTTGGKTGTACTTATCATCACAAACTATAAATTAATAATCAAATTTGGACTAGTCACTATAACTTAATTGAAAGACTGTGAACAATGTTTTCTGATGCCTTAGAATGCACAAATTCACCATTTTATCACATTCGTATCTCACGATGGTCATAAAATTCTTCAAATTGTTTGCCTTTATAATTACCGATCATAACGACGCCGCATAGACCATCCGAAATGCCAAATGTCATAAACTTTCAACTACGAATAAAAACAATACCTACGACTTGTATGAGTTTTATATTTTTGCGGTGCACTGTTGCGGTTTGTAACCCCATTCAACATGCAACAAATGTTGTAAGTGTAATTTAATTGTTTTGACGTCATTATAATGTTTTTTTTATGCGGTTATCTCTTATTATACCACAAATTGTTTTAATTACGGACATGAAACTACTCAATTATTTAGAGGCATACTACTATTTTTTACATACTCATATACAATATGCACATGTACATAGATTCTTATATTTACTTATTCGCATGTTCTAAAATAGAATACAATAATAAGAACAGCAACAATTAATTTCCGGCTTTCCTTTAGTACCGCTAACTGGCCATTTTTGGTGTTATCTCCTCCAAATGATCAAGTCCAGTTGTGTAATCTAAATAATGCGACTCACTAGATAATTTTTCGTGTGTGGGATCATCATGTTTGATGTGAAAGATAGAAAGTGGTGGATGACTATCCATAATGCTTGTATGAAAGTGCCTAGTATGACTGGTCTCTTTGATAGAAACATGCAGATAACAGTCTAAAGATATTAAAAATAAAATTATATGTGACAAATGATAGATGACAAATGACGCATGATATAATATTGTAGGTCTCAGATAGTAAATGACAAATATGTTGGTTCAAATTAACGATAATTTATGGCACATGCAAATAATAAAAGATGATGATAAAAAAGATAATCGATAGACGAAATGCTGCTGAATATCCAAATAAATGATGTCAAAATAATTATTTTAAATGACAACGGTTTATGGGAGAGATCGATAAACGAAAGATCAGGTGATGATATATGACAGATAATAAAATAAATATTTTAGATCACAAATTTATATGGGAGCGATCGAAAAATATGCTGCTAATARATGACAAATGTCAAAATAATTATTGTAGATTACAATGTTTTATGAGTGAGATCGATTTCAAATAATCAAATATTGTTATAGAGAACTGATGACAGCTAATAAATGTCATGCATTGCTTCTAGTTTGGATGTATTAAACTATAGACCAAAAAGATTTGTGAAATCTGTTACAAATTGAATGGAATACATAATATGTCATATATCAGCGGCGGATCCCGAATTATTTTCTGGGGAATTCTACAGAGAGAATGTTCCTTTCAACATATTTTTAATATTGAATGTACTTCGGAAGTTCTTCTGAATTTAATTTAGAGTAATTTTCTGCGCTCTGATTTTATAATACATAGTTAACTATAACTACTTCCACATGAAACTTTCTTTTTAACATCATCAAGGTTTCGTTATTAATAAATAATCATTCTCGGACTCTATCAACCAATCTATTAACTACTTCTCACATGAAACTTTTCTCCTATCAATTTCGTTAAGATTTTATTATTAACAAACAGTCATTCTCCGATTTTTGGACCGCTATGACATATGATATGAATAATGGCGAATCCAATGAGATTGATCAGGAAATGAAAAGACATTTTTCAGTCACTTATCGTGAATTATGACTGAAAAGTGAGACTAGAATGCTCAATGTAGTAACCTTATTTACTGAATATGAAATGAAGCCTATGATAAGTGAATATTCGWATAAATGGAGAGTAATGGTAAAATTACTAATTATGAACTATGATTGATGAGTAAGGATTGATATTTTTTTAAGTGTTCAGCATGCAAAGGTGGTATGTGAGATTTGACGATTGACTGAGACATGTCACGACTAACGACTGATCAATTAAATCATAAATACGTGATCTTTSAAATAATAATCGCGAACTAAGGTTGATGATTAAGGTGTTTCTTTTTGAAGTTTTCAGCATGCAAAACTGCTACAAGTTTGAATTAGATAAATTTTGATTTAAGATTATGACTCGCACTGAATGATGATAAATCCATGAACTGATAGAAATATGATAGCTTATTGTCTGATTTTTATATGATTGAYGAGTAGGGATTTAAATAGTTTTCTAAGTGCGAACCTATTTCAAATATGTGGCATACAATGAATGGAGAATGTCAAATCTGATACGTGAGGCATGAAAAATTATGAATGATTGGCGATCAATGATTAATGATACATTTCAAACTTTCAGTGATCATTTACGAACCATATAATAAATGAGGTGAAAATATGTTTAATTATGATAGTGAATGAATGGCGAATAAACTATGTATCAACCATTCTTAGTGAATATTTTATGAATAAAACATGCATATGAATGAATAACAAATGGTTTTTCAAAAATAAAACAAGCGAAGAAGTGATATTATGAATTTCACCATGCAAGTGAATAAATGATAAATTTCAACGAAATGATCGTCTTATGATGATTTGAATTTTTACGGAATATAGTGGTTCATGTCAATGATAAATGGAGCATGCCAAAAAAATAATTTTGAAAAATCTTCAATTTTTGCGGAATATTACTGTTCATGTCTATGCTAAATGGAGCATGCCAAAAAAAAATAATTTTCAAAAATAATCAACGTGAGCCATTAATTTATATGAAGGTGAAATCAGTGAAGTGTGGAATATTGACGATGAATGTGTAATGAGTAGAGAAATCCATGAGGTGCAAGACGATTGAAGKTTCTTCATATATGACATACAATATATGTATAGAAATTTGTGATTCATGATTTTTCTTTGATGAATTGTGATTTATGATTTGTTGCATGATTCATGAATGGATCTATATATGTTGATATATGATCGATGATCTGTGACTTTAGATACCAATTTTTTTTTTAACTATTTCTGAACAAAACTCTTGTGAACTATGTTTAATAGGACATGATTTGTAAATTAAAGAGGGTATTTTTATATGATTTWTAATTTTTGATTTTGTGGTTGAAATGACTGAAGAAATAAAGTTGATGAAAATCTATTGAACTTAAGTGAATTCATCTCAAATTCTTTGAATTTCCAAGTAAACTCCTCAAAAATAAACAAAACACAAAATAACATCATGCATCAATGAGAATAGACTAGTGATCTGTGTTGATGAACTTACTTACCCACTATTTTTAGAGCGACATAGTATGAAACACTTTAAAACTAAAACAATGTAATGAGCGACTTTATTCTTAAGTGGATGTAAATGTATAGAATATAATGGCAGATATGTTGGTAGTGGTATGTGTATGCTGATATATGTTGGTAATAGTGCTTCAGAGAGTAGAATATCATTTGCGTGCTTATATGTACATGTATGTTTGTGCATGATCATGCAAAGTTATGTTACTCCTAGTCATGAGATGCTTTTGTGTGGAAATATGTATAGTTGAAACTATATGAAARATATGTATGTGTGTGCGAATGTGTTGTTGTGGTTTTTATGGAACAATTTTTCGGTTGTAGAACCCAAATTACGACATCTAAGGAGAAAGCTATATTGAGTATAAACTCGCCATTAAAACACTAATAAAGCTTACCACGCATAAAATCAACTTCGAGGTCAAAAATTACAGTAAAATGCATACGAAAATGTATGTTTCACTAGTCAAATGTTGAAAGTCCTGCCCGATTCACTTGACGCCCATTTCTGCTAGCGCACCYGCCGCTGCTGCGCCCATTTCATGTTCACTCGAACCAATRGGTTCTAACAGCAGAATATCTCGACTCTCCTGCAAACATTTAATGACCTCGTTAATGTTACGCTTGAAATCGGCCTCACTTATACCGCCAGCCATCATTAAACGCTGTGAACGCATCATTATAGCCCCATGCAGTTCATATAAAATTAGACCTGGAAGGGAGATTTTTTTGTTTTAGTATTTCTTTTGTATATTTTGTTATAAATTTTCACATTTCTAATTGTGGTTTTTGGGATTTCTACATTCTTAGTTCTATTCTTACTTGTTTCTTCACCTTTCTACTTTTTTTACGTTTTTTACTTTTTTTACTTATTTCTTTTTAAATTTTTTTTAATTAACTTTTTTGGTATAATCACAAATATTTTTTACCCACCTCTCAAACGTGTTAGCCCTGGTTCCAACACATTAATAATACTCAGGAAATGGCGACAATAATTTTCCTTCTTCTGGACATTTTCAAGCGGCAATGTATGTAGCAGATAACCCTCAATACGACCATAGATTTGACAGAGAGAATATTTCGCTGAGAGCAGTAGATAGTGGTTTGGTCCGAGCACACGTTCATATCTGTGAAAGAAAAGTTTTTTTAGTCGCTTCACAACTACCTTACGATATTGATAAGACGACTTATAATGTAACATAACCTCACTCTTTCATTATGTAGGAAAAATTYAACATATTTGGGAAAAATCAGCATAACATCAGATGAAATTTTGAATTGTTTTATAAGGAAAGTAGTTGTAGAATTTGATTGAAATTGGTAGAGAAGTTGTCGAGATTAATGAGATTTCGCTTAAAAGTGTGGGGTGCTACGCCGCCTTTTTCATTCCTTCACTTGTTCACATACAATATTATTCTAACGGTAAATTTAATAGTTGTAACGTTGTATATGCAATTTTGCACAATAATAATTCTCTAGAAAGTAATAACCCCACTGGTTGGAAAAGCTCTAGTAAGTTAAGGGGTTGCATGGGTTTACGGGTTTAAAAAAATCGGTTTTTTGTATTATCTTATTAAATTCTRAAACTCTTCTAGAATATTGACCTAAGTTTTCAAGTTGATCTAAGTAATAGTTCCAGAAATACGGCCTTGAGACATTGTGCGCTCGAGGCGCCCTGYTTAAACGCGATTTTCTCGAAACTGTGTTTTTGAAGTCGGTTGGCAAGATTTCTCGAGAACACAGTTCTTCACGTATTTTTGCACAGATCTTTGAGATACAATTCTTAAAGACTTAGTCAAATGATTTATTTTTTTTTTCGATTTCCACTATTTGAAAGACCAAAATTTCTGGAAATTTTCACTGAAACTTTAATTTTTTTTTTAATATCTGCCAAAAATCCAATTTTCAGTTTTCTTTTCTTTTGTCCAAGTTTTAAATTGAGGTTTTAACATAAACGCGTACTTTTTTCACCTTAGATGATCCCGCAAGGCACAACTTTTTATGAAGGGTCAATTTCAGAATTTCTTTGTTAATAGTGTATCCTTGTAAAAATAAAAAATTTATATGAGAAAAAAATGTTTGAAAAAGGCTGTTTTTTTTACCAAAGAAAACCCATCTAACCCCAAACATCTAACCAAATAGAGCTAGAGGCCACTTATTGAGAAATACATTGYTGACGCTATTTTTCCAACTCAGCCATATTTATAATATTTTTATGGAAAAATTCTTGTRTTGTACTCACTTTTTCAGAAAACCCTCCAGTCCTGGTATACTGTGCGCATCTATGCTTTCCAAATTCAAATTGATTGTGTCTAATAATTTAACAATCTCCACCGATTTCAGCGCATAGTCACAGTGATCACAGCTAGTTGAAAAAAAAAAAATGTATTTAGGTTTGAAAAGATATTGCTTATGAAAACTGAACTTACCACCAAGCCGCCGATTGATTCAGTGGCTCTACAGAACGTACAGATCCGCTTTTACACTTCGGACACAACAATGCACTACAGTCCGTGCCGAGCTCCTTCGGATCGGTGCAACGCTGACAGCAGCACCAGAACAATTTGCCAGCATGCATGAACTCGCGACGCTTCAGGGTGCCCTGGTTGTTCAATTAAGGAAATTAAGTCAAATTTTGCTATACTCGGACACTCCTTCTCACCTGCAGCGTRTAAGCATAGCTCAATGTGATGCCCTCGTCCTTTCGTATCGCTCGCGATGTGCGTAAGATGATCGCATAACTTTGCGGATCATCGGTGTGCGCCGTATTGGGACAACAGTCGTGCGCCAACAAAAACGCGCTCTTGTATAAACAACGAGCYTTTGCCGAATTTTGACCGATTTCAAAACAGTTCACATCCAAAATCCCGCAAATGTTGTGTATCTCATCGGCGGTGAGCGCCGCCATGCCCCAATCGCCTTTCAGCCTTTGCACCACATTCCGTTCATAGTATTGCCACAATTCGGTATTGGATTTACGCAACTCGGTGTGTGATTCCATTTGCAGTATGTCGGCGTATATTTCCGGTGCATTTTGCTTGATTAGGAAGATGCGCACAATCAGTATGAGTTCATAGTAGTTCTTCACCAAATCCGGTTTGTCGCGTATGGCTTCCAGCGCCTCGCCCAGTTTATGCGTACGCAACAGCTCACACTCTTGTGCGGTGTGTCCTTTGGGCTGATGCAAACCGCGGCATTGCGGGCCACACATAGGCCATTTGCAAGCCGAGCAGCTGACGGGGAGGAAAATGCAAAGTTTTTAATATACATATTATTTTTGAATCCTTGCTGCTACCTTAAAAGGTCAGCGACTCATTTTTCAAAAACTCAAAAATTCTGAAATTTACTAATTCACTTCTGTAATCCGATTTTAAATCACTTTCAAAAAATTTTGCCAAATTCTCAAACTTTTTAGTTTGTTCTGCTTTACAGCACCGTCACGGCATGACTGAAGTGCTTCACTTAATGATCGCCTTTTTAAATGCTGCGGGTACAGTTTCGAAACTTGATTGCTCATACTTAAAATCTTGTAAAAAAAACCATACATATATTCATATATGTATATATGTTTGTATGTTTTCATCGATACACAAATTTMTTTACATTTAGTTGTTTTTGTAAATGAAATATAATTTTATTAATAGTTCCGCATCTCGATCTACGTGATCGAAAACAGAAACTGCTACAGYGCCAAAACAAAACAATTCACTCAATAAAATCGTATATTTTTCTAAAAATAATCTCAAATATTGTACTTTGTTATTAAAAATAGCTTTTCAAAATACAATTTGTCGTCTCATTGCTGGGTTCGCATTCAAATGTTGCATGTAAACAATTTTTGAAAGTCAAAATTTATGAAATTCATAGTAGTGGGTGTGTCTTCGGGAAATTTTCAAAACAAATATATAATTTTTTATTGCAATAACCTTCACAGCTGTCACCTTTTAGATAAATTTTACGTTTTTTAACAAAATTTGAAAACAATACAGAATAAACAACAAACACACTTAAACAACTTTTTAATTTATAGTTTCTTCAGTGTTGTTTTTGTGCAGGTGGGCGGTAAAAAGCACTCATAGAAGCAGATTTAAATCAAATAAGTCGTGCTAGTTTGGACTAATGGCGTGACAAAGCACTTTTCTTCAAAATAATTTAATATTTGATTTTTTAAAACAGGTTTCGAAACAATATAAAATATATATGTATTAGGGTGGGTCCAAAAAAAAACAAATTCTTTATTTTTCGCTGCGTACTCTGAAAAATTGGTTGATAGACACCTCTAAGAAACGGTCTCCAAGTATGAGCTCATAATTGTAACATTAAGGTTATCCGGTTGGAAACGAGATAAGAATTTGTCAATCTGATTACAAGAAAAAATAGAAATCCTTTAGGCGGAGGACCTACCCGCTACATTTAAGAGCT